TTACAGTGCTTCCGAAGCTACCCATTGGGATCACCTTCGATAGGTCTTCTCTGTATTGCACGCCCACCATCTCTTTGCCAACTCAAAGAAATGTATCTTTGCTCAGCCTAGCATTGAGTACCTGGGTCATATTATTAGCGCGGCTGGTGTTTTTGCCGATCCTTCTAAAATCCAGGCTATGGTTGACTGGCCTCAACCATCTTCACTTAAAGCTCTTCGCGGTTTTCTGGGACTTATAGGCTATTATCGCCGTTTTGTGCGTAACTACAGTAAAATAGCATGGCCATTGATGCAGCAGCTTAAAAAGGATGCTTTCTCATGGAATGCGGAGGCTGAGAATGCATTTCAGGAGTTGAAACGGGCTATGACGACCGTACCTGTGTTGGCCCTTCCAGATTTTTCCCAGCTCTTCTTGATCGAGACGGATGCATCCGATGTAGGTCTCGGGGCGGTATTAATGCAGAATAATCGGCCTATAGCTTTTTATAGCCACAAGCTTAGCCCGTCTGCACAGTCAAAATCTGTCTACGAGCGGGAATTAATGGCCATTGTCTCTACCATTAAAAAGTGGCGCCCCTATCTTCTTGGAAGACGCTTTATTGTTCGGACCGACCAGCGTAGTCTCAAGTATCTGTTGGAGCAGCGGATTGTCGAAGGTGAGCATCATAAGTGGCTTCTTAAGCTTATGAATTATGACTTTGAGATTCAGTACAAACTGTGTGCCGATAATACCGTGGCTGACGCCGTATCCAGAGTTCCTGCTGAAATGCACTTAAAATCTCTTACAGTCCCTATTTTCCTTGATTTTGATGACCTTAAGGAGCAAGTTGATGCTGATCCTTTCCTAGCCCCCATCAAGCATGCCATATAGCATAATCCGGCGTCCTATCCCGCCTATTCTTTAGTTGGAGAACACCTACGTTATCACGGTAAATTGGTTCTGCCGGCTTCTTCCCCATTTATTCCCCTCTTATTGAAGGAGTTTCATTCGGGAGTTGTGGGAGGTCACGGGGTATCCGCCGGACATACAAGCGAATAGCAGCTGAATTTTACTGGCGGGGGATCAAGCGTTCTGTCCAGGAGTTTGTGCAGGCTTGCGATGTGTGTCAACGCAGTAAATATGAAGCCATGTCCCCCGTTGGCCTTTTACAACCTTTACCCGTACCTGAACAGATCTGGGAGGATATTGCTATGGACTTTATTGAGGCTCTTCCTAAGTCAAAGGGGTTTGACACAATTATGGTG